TCTAAGTGGGGGAAAATGAGTGCTTGGATGAAGGCAATCTTTACTCATTGTGCATATGCTTCACAGACTGCTTATGAGGATAGAATAGAGAACAGAAAAGCAATGAGGCATGCTAGGGAGATGGTGGGGCTGCCACCACTTCTACCAGTGCAGCCACCACCACAGTTTCCAAACTTGCCTCGCCTTTCTTCTTCTGATGAGGAGTAAGATCAGCCACATGAGCACCATTATGAACAGCCAGATGATCAGCGGTATGTGCACTCATATGAGCCATTCAGTCAGTACTACGGGTACCCACAGGGGGAGCATTTTGAGGAGCCCCCAAGGCAGGAGGACATTGGTGCAGAGATTCACCCTACAGAGGCCGATCCACAGGTTCAGGCAGCTTTGTTTCGCACATATTCTAGGAGACCGCGTCCCTCGATGGATTAGCTAGGGCCTTCTACTTCAGCTAGGGCAGCACCTTCGCGACGTTCAGTACGTTTCACTTCACACACCCATGTCGCCGGACGTGCCTGCATTGACTCCGACAGTGACAAGTGACTTTTCTTCTTGTTCTTCTCTTTTTGGTACTTGGTGCCAAAGGGGGAGAAAATTAGAGAGGTTAACAGTTTTTCGACGCCATGAGTTATCTGCTGCTACGCCTTATGTTCAGATCCGATGAAAGTAGTTGTTAGGTTATGAGTTTGAGAGTCGCTCAAAACTCTATTTTATGAAATTATGCTACTTTGTGACTTTGTTTGCTTCGGATATGGACATGTATTCATGGTTACAGTTTCAGCTTGTCATATTCTGAGTTTAAATTGTTTTATATTCATATGATCTGTTGTAGGAATCTGAGCGATACCTGACTGATATTGTCAGGACGGCAGTGCCGCCCTATGGGGTCGGCAGTGCCGCCCTGTGCTGGATTAGCCAGGGTCTTGAGTGCTTGAACTGATATAACCTATCATATGCATCATGTTTATTCCTGTGACACTTTGTTCAGCACCCCACAACAGGCATGGATGTAGGGGAGACTTCCATCACACCTAAAATGTGAACCATGGCCTTTCATGTCAATTTGAGAATTTAAATCTCTATTCACATATTTAGGGGGAGGCTCCTACACCCATGGTTCGAAAATCTCAGTTTAGATTTTATATCATTTGTAAGCTCTAATTGGGTTGTCATCAAATACCAAAAAGGGAGAGATTGTAAGTGCAATCAAACCCTATTGTGGGTTTTGGCATTCATGACCACTAAATTAGAGGACTAATGAGATTTATCAAGATGACAAGCAGGGAATTGAAAAATGAGGATGATGTACAGGTTGCAGGTGTCCTAATTACAAAAGGTGGCTAGACCTAGCTCAAAGGAGGTTTAAATTCTTTTATGTTTTGGAATTGAGTTTAGAGAAAGCCGTACTATTAAGAGGAATTTTAGGACAGTTGGTCAACTGTTGAACCAGATGCTCAAATTCATAGATTTACATCCTCTCACCTAGTCAAAACAGCCAGCCAAATTTTATATCATCTCACCTGTTTTGGCTAGGACGACAGTGCCGCCCTTAACTGACCGTTGGGCTCAAGGGGTATTTATACCCTTCAGGCCTGGCCCACAACGATTATCTTCTTCACTGAGTCATTATGCTCGAAACAAGACAGAACCAAAGCTCATCTCTCTCCTCCACTATTACTCCTCCATCCCTCAAGCTAATACTTGATTCCAACCATCAAAACTTGAGAGAAAAGGCAATAAAACTCGATTGGAGAGAAGATCCACTGATTCCCAAAGTCTAAGAGCATTTGGTTCACGTTTGGTCGGTGGTTCTAGGGTTTGTTACTCTTGGAGCTTGCTCCTAGCCGGCTAGGCGTCGCCCTTGTGCTTGCCAACTCGTGTGGTAGCCTTGGGAGGTTTGTAACCTCATTCAAAAGCTAAGAAATCATCTCTCACTTTAAGAGTTTACATTTTTGATTTGAGAACGAGGATAAGGCAAGCCTTGGTGGCAAGCTCAAGCCTTTTGTGGCTTCCTTAACAACGTGGACTTAGGAAAACCTTTGTGGTGAGCTGAACCATGAGATAAATCTTACGTCTCGCGTGCTTCATCTTGTTTACTTGCTGGTTTAGCTCATTACTGGCTGTTGTTAGGGTTTGGTTGCTCGATCCACTCTTGTGTGGAGTTTCTGTGGTATTCAGTCTTCGAACTGGATCTTGTCTTTCTATTGCAGGATTAAGCAGCTAGTTAGGTCAGGTTCACCTCTGTAAAATCTCAGCTATGTTAGATTTATTTTCGTAGAGCGGCAGTGTCGCCCTGTAAGACCGGCAGTGCAGCCCTCTGTTCTAACAGAGTTTTAAGCTGAATTTTTTACAGGCCTATTCACCCCCCTCTAGGCCTCATTTATCTTCCTGTAGATCCTACATTTTTCATAATGACAAATGTAGGTAACTTTTTAAAAATCATAATAGATACAATAGTTATTATCAATAATGATGATTCGAGTCTACCAAATTGAAGGCCAGTGGTTACTTATTGTTGTGAGAATTTCTGGGATTTATCATTTTTTCCCAGTGCTTTTGGTGGGAATTAACATGGTGCATCCATTGAGAAATCTAATTAGTAACAGTAAGATATTTTATCAAACTTCAAATTTGAACCATTAGCGTAATCAGATATATTAGTCATATTGTTATGCAAACAATTCGAATCCTAAAGAGGAAAGTCCATCATGCCTATATACTGCACAAAGTTAGTCATACCAGGACACAAAACAAATAAAGGAAAAGAAAACACCTAACCGTGGAATGAAACTAATGTGACGTCCATAGTTGTGCCACACCGATCTCTCACAATCATGCCAAATCTAATTCTATACATGTGTGTAACTCTAGATTCAAATCAAAGTTAATTCTATGAAGTAATTTTATTAGGTAATACATATTAAATAAGAATTTCTATTGCTTCAGTATCTCAAAGTTTGCCCGTGGGGAGCACGGTTGATGGACTAGTATATTTATAACGACAATTGTCTAACGCTAGCCACACAAAAAATAACCACATAATATGATTTGTCTATATATCAGCATTAACCATGTTAGACAATAAACACTCATGAAACACATATAAGGTCCCATTTGAATCCTTAGGGATTACAAGAATCTAGATAATTTTTTTAGAAACCTATAACCCCTTCCAAATAGACTAGATTCTAGTATATTTTAACACATAGACATGGAATACAGTAAAACACATATAAGGTCCCACTTGTTGCATGCAACACGCTACCTCTAGTTAGTACTCCATCCGTCCCTAAAATAATGCAATTATAAAACAGTGTCATGTTTTGGTATATCAAGTTTAATTAATTATAAATAAAAAGTATAAATATTTATAATATCAAATAAATATCATTAGACTAGTTACAAAATGTATTTCCATAATAAATTGATTTGGAACCATAAATGTGAATACTATTTATTAGAAACTTGATCAAATGTGAAGTGCTTAAACTGGCACATATACCATAATCACATCCTTTTGGAGACAGAGGTAGTATCTGCAACCTGAAAATAAAAGTTTACATTCATAAAAAATACAAACCGAAACTTGATATATTGGAGAAATCATGGGGTCCGAGCGCTCGGCAGCCAGCACAGCGACGAGCACCATTCACCCGCCTCCTGTTTTTTATGATTTCCTATGTTAATTCGGCCCAACAAGTATTTCTTGTTCGTCACATTGTTCTGTTGAAATGGGCCTAAGAAGCACTGTTTAGGCCCAACCGATACCGAGGCTAATCGTCCCTGTAGGCCCATTAAACAACCAATCTTGTGCGCCGTACAACAAACTCGGTCCGTCAGCCCATCGCCTGGAATCCGACGAAATACTAGTGCTCCTGCAACTGCACGCGCAGACGAGCCGTTCGTCCACCAAAGCCGGCTACGGCAACGCGCGCACCGGATTCGAGTTCCCACTCGCCGACCGAACCCTACTCCGTACTCCCTCCAGGGATCGCCGCGGACCCGGCGCCTCCGAGGCTTCGACCGCTCCGTCCACCGGAATCTCGGCCTTTCATCGAGGATACACGGTAGGTGTTCCGGACGCCTACAGCGCCCCGCCTGCCCTATCGTTTAGGGCGGAATTGGGTGCCGCATAGACTAATCTGGTAAATCCGGCAATCCGGCCCTGTGACGGTGGAATTTGGAGCGGACTTTAGTAGGATTGCATAGAGATTGTGTCCTATTCCGACGATTGGTTGAATGATTGCTCCTAACTCGATTTTCGGGGTTCTGCTTTTGAAATCGGGAGGCTTATTTTGGACTATTATTGGGAAGATGATGCGTCGATGAATTGTTTGAAGTGCTAGCTAACCAGCGCACAAGATGGAATATGTATTAGTATTGTTATCATACTGGCGTTTCAATATACGAACAATTTAGCCTTTGTACGTATCAACAGAATTTGAGAGCACATGGTTTGATGATGAGTTTGAGTAGACACTGTCACACTGAAATAGCACCGTACTCTCAATTTGTTACTAACCTAACCATCGTATCTTTGTACGTTTTATGGCATCACATTGATGGTACCTCAATCCATTCAGTTCTTTGCAAACACTGCTTAATAAGATATAAAATTTTTGTATCAGGCGTTGCCATAAGTTCTGAAAATACCATAGACAACTAAGTTTATGAGGATAGTTTGAGTGATACAAGTGATTAATGCTATGCTGTATTGGAAGTTGGTTATCACACGACTTCCTATTTTTGTCTTTTTGGTCTTATAAATTGAAAAAGTGTTATTCTTAATTTGATGTTATATCACTTCTAAAAGAGAAGCAGTACATCGTCCTAAAGTGCTAGGCACCTCAAACAGTGGGCGCTACATCCTACAATGCTCAGATCTCCGATAGCCATTGGTCCTATGAATTTAGAAATGTGAATATATTCCATGTAATCGTTTTCTTATGCTGCTGGGTGCCATATATTGTTTATATAAATGTTTGCTTATTTCCATCCAGATGGCTCTGAATGAACGTCTGAACAAATTTAAACAGCAGCAAGAGAGGTGCCAGAATATTCTATCTAGCATTTTTGCAAGCCAAGCTTCTATTTCAACGCCAAAACTTGTTCCAGGGATTCAACCAGTCAATGCCCCATTGGCTCCTGTAAAACCACTGCATCCTATTAAATTCTCAAATGATATGGAAAGGCTACAGCACATCAATTCAGTAAGGAAGTCTGCTGTGGGAGTACAGATCAAGTTAGTGATTGAACTGCTTTATAAGGTAATCTCCAAAAAATCCAACTTGATGCAGTTTCTGCAATTGTACCAATTTTCTGACTCATATACTTACAACTGATCTAGCATTGGAAAGTGGTCACCTATTAATTGCAAATCAGACTGGTGTTGGACAAAGGATGATTCTTACATAGGTTCAGCTGCTACTTACGATGTTATGGTATTAACTGGGAATGTTGAGCAGTATTGTAACATGATATTAATATTCCTTTAAATTAAATGGAATTAATATACTAGTGGAGTCATCAGACATGAGTAGTCTTGCTGCAACATCAGTTCTAGCATTATTTTGGATAATTGGGACGATTAGAAACTTCCCAGTCCAGGAAGGAAATACAGAATATTTTCTTCGAACCTTCTTCCTGGGATATATATGTTATAGCGATAGTGGATGAATTAATGTAGCTTCTTTTGTGCTTGCAGACAAGGCAATCATTTACAGCAAAGCAAGTAAACGAAGCTACCTATGTTGATATTCATGGCAACAAGGCTGTATTTGACAGCTTAAGGAATAATCCCAAAGTTTTATTTGATGGGACTCGTTTCTCTTACAAGGTAAATGCATTCGATGTCATTTTGTTAGCAGTTTCATTGAATTAGCACATTCATGCATAAAATCTTTTGATTTCAATGAAACGCATGTCTCCTACGTTCAAAAAAAAACTTTCGATTTCACTGCTCAATGTCTAGATCTAAACACACAAGGAATGTGCCAGCTGAAACTTTCAATTGCCTTGTTTGATCGTGCCTGTGGCAAGCTAAACCTGCCATGCATTCATATTAATTCATTTTTGAAATTGACTATCCACTTAAGTTGTGTTAAGAGATGGAGGGAGGGTATTTAAGTGAGAGTAGGGTTTTCATCTTTTTATATGGTTTGCTTGCATTGTGGACTGACCTGCCTTTTGCTCTTGTGCAGCCAAAGCATGTTTTGACAGGAAGAGATGAATTGCTTGGTTTGATCAAGAAGCATGAGTTTGGCCTTCCTGTTGAGGACATCAAAGATGCTTATCCATCCGTATTGGAAGATTTGCAGGTAACTACATTGGCCTTGGTTCAATATTTTGAAAGCTTGCTAAATTATGCGAATCAATTTTGTGACTGAGCTGATATGAACTCATCCCATTCAAATATTAAGAAGCCAATTAGCCTTGTGTGTGAAGGCTTGGTCTTCTAAATGAGCCTTTTTGCAGTCCTTTGGATATACCAAATTATGAGTTTATGACCTTGCTTTTTACGAGGTACCAAGTTTGTACTAATGGCTGAGAAGGTACTAAGATTCACATGATACCTCTTGATAACTCCCCCCACCCCTTATTTTTTTTACAATTTAGCCCTTTTTTTGAAGAAAATTTACTTTTGGCCCACTGAGAGAAGTAAACTCATCTTTGGACCCTAGGGGTCGGCGCCAGGACTCATGGCGCCGAGGTAACATGTCTCGGCGCCACAGATCTTGGCGCCGAGGTGCCTGGCCGAGATCTTAGGTGTCGTTGACGTGGCCGGTACCTCGGCGCCATAATACATGACGCCGAGGTCGGTGCCACAGATCTTGGCGCCGAGCCGAAAGAGACCGTGATCGTGTCACTGTCGCTGACGACTGGCCTGGCCTGTTCGCGTCATAGCGTGGGCTGTTGTGCTTTGCGTGCTGGACAGTGGAGAGCGTGAACGATTTGATCGTGCGGCTGACCGGCTGTACCACCTCAAAGACCGGATTTCTCCGCGGAGACTGAGTACTCACTCCATCCAAAAAGACTGTTTTCAAGGAATCAATGAATTACTACCAAATGTACATAAAGAATTATAACTAATATCTATATAATACATAATATGTATCCTGGCTGAACGTAAATTTTATTATTATAATAAACTTATTTAAAAATATAAATATTGATAATATTTTTATATATCTTATCACTCTAGAAGACAAAATTTTATAGCTACAGGAATCGCGAAAACTCGTTAAGGAAAATACTAGTAGTGTATCTATAAAATTTTGTCTTCAAAGGTTTTTCGAAAACTTCTTAGTATTTTCCTTAACGGGTTTTCACGATTCCACCAAATAGTTTAACCATGTCATTAGGCACCGGATCCTCTATCATAAAAAGAATATCATCCTAGGTTCGACTAAATCAAATTTCTTCTAGAACGATAAGATATATAAAAATATTATCAATATTTATATCTTTAAATAAGTTTATTATAATAATAAAATTTACGATTCAGCCAGGATGCATATTATGTATTATATAGATAGTTATAATTCTTTATGTACATTTGGTAATAATTCATTGATTCCTTGAAAACACAGTCTTTTTGGATGGAGTGAGTACTCAGTCTCCGCAGAGAAATCCGGTCTTCGAGGTGGTACAGCCGGTCAGCCGCGCAATCAAGGGCCTGTCCGCTTAAACTTATCAGCCGGCTTATCAGCTAGAATCTACAGTATTTTTCTCTCACAACAAACCAGCTTCAGTCGGCTTTAATACCAGCCGAACAGGTCCCAAATCGTTCACGCTCTCCACTGTCCAGCACGCAAAGCACAGCAGCCCACGCTATGACACGAACAGGCCAGGCCAGTCGTCAGCGACAGTGACACGATCACGGTTTCCTTTGGCTCGGCGCCAAGATATGTGGCGCCGACCTCGGCGCCATGTATTATGGCGCCGAGGTACCGGCGACGTCAACGCCACCTAGGACCTCGGCCAGGCACCTCGGCGCCGAGACGTGTTACCTCTACGCCATGAGTCCTGGCGCCGACCACACGGTCCAAAGATGAGTTTACTTCTCCTAGAGGGCCAAACTTAAAATTTTTTTCAATAAAAGGGCTAAATTGTAAAAAATTAGCCCCCCACCCAAACAATTCCTAAATAACTGTCGCTTTTGGTAAAAAATACATTCAACATTTGTATCTCTAAATAAATTTATTATAAAAATAGATTCAACAATCCATCTAATAATATTAATTTTATACCATAGATATTAATATTTTTTTATATATATATGAAAACGACAGTTATTTAGAGACGGGGGAGTAGTGAGTATTGACTATTTGACTGAACCTTTTGCTTGTATGTTGTAGAAATAGGTTTCCTAGGACTTCCACAGTTTGATTTTTTTTTTTTGGCTTATTACTTTCTGGAACAAGTAGTGGTTGCCTCATCTTTTTATTTTGAACCGTGTGGTTCTCTCTGATTTGGGCTGTCATCTATTCCACTGCGAATGCGGAGGTGTTGTCTGGTGACCAATGTATTGCAGTCTGTATTTGCAGCTTGAGAGTAGCCTTTTGTTCTCCGTCGTATCATAGGTGTCAAGAGCTAGGTTAATCTGGAGTATGACATTTTTTTTCCCAGGCTCTGAAAGCATCAGGTGATGTCTGGTGGCTATCAAGCGCCAACTCCCAGGGAGACATGGCGTACTTTAATGACCCTAAATATAAGATCACGGTCGACAATGACCTGAAGGAGCTATTCCAGAAGACATAGCTGCCACGGGACATGCTGGACATTGAGAAGGAGCTAAAGAAGAGTGGCGAGAAGCCAATGACCAACACGACCAAGCGGCGCGCATTAGCCCAGATCCTTGACGCTGCACCCAAAGACCAAGCCTAAGGGCAGCAAGAAGCAGCAGCGTCGCCTCACGGGGAAAAGCAAGGGGATAACGAACATACATATGCCGGAACTGTTCGACGCTTGAGCCGTCGGCTGGCGCTAGCAAATGGAGTACGATACGGCCGAGCTGACAACGGTTTACAAGCGATTTGGTGCTTAACCGAGTGAACGGTAACACTAGTTCCGTTCCGTTAGGATCTTTGACTTGGGTATCGAGTTACCTGGAGTCTAGTTGACATGTTTTTTTTTGAGTCGTTATAGCAATCGAGACGATGAAATTTTTTTGTGCACAGTACTCGAAAAACTGCAGGCCTTTTCTTCTTTTCAGTGAACGAACAGTGTTTTTCTCTCATAATAAATTAGCATAAGCTAAATTTTAGCGAAACGAACAGGTCCACAGGTACCCAGTAAACGCGCAATGGTGCTTTATAAGAAATGGGAGGTGATGATGGGCCTGAAGGCCGTTGGACACTCTGACTGGTTTGGGGTTACGAGAAATGGTGCTTATTTTCGGTCCCGCTTGGATTGGTTTGGGGTTACGAGAATTCGCATCCCTTATTATCCAGATTTTTTTTCTCTTGGATTATGAGATTCTCAAAATCCGTCTTGGGTTTTTCAGAATCCCTCTTAGAACTGCTTTGGTTTCTAGCAATCTAGCAAAACAAATCAAATCGCAGCGATGGCTGGTTACTTCACTGCGTCTGACCTTCAAGGTTCACCGGCCCAAGAATCTACGATACTGTGCTGAACTGCAGAAGTTGAGCGCTGTAGGCCGTACATACACTGTTGAAGGATACCATACGTACTACTATGAGCTGGACCTGAGAATTCTGGCCGTACAGACACTGTGTGGTTTTGGAATCCCCTCGTGTGGTTGGCTCGTGGATGGGACTGGGAGATACTAAGTATAATACTACTAGTTCCGATGAGAAGTACTCTACTACTACTACTACTATCACAGTCGAGAGTACAAACGTGCGTACTCTACTGAACAGCCTCCTGGGTCCTGGCGGAGGGTCAGGAGAGAATCCTGTCCTGGAGATCCTTGTCTGCAAGCTGCAACGGACACGGTTGAATTGCGACGCTGCAGCAAGGAGCCGCGCGCAGTGCAGGCTAGTAGTACGAGTAGTAATATTTTTTCATCTCATCCGCTCCATCTCCGGCGGAGAAAAACGACTTTTCTTTTTGGCATCTCTCAGACGCAAAGACGCGACGCACGTCCATGGACGCTGGACGGCACGCAGCGTCAGCTTAAGTGACGACACTGCACGGCCCTGCACAGCGCTGCGTTCCGCTGCGCTGCACAGGAGGACAAGGGCGCCTCGCCTGCCTTGCCTGTGCGGCTGTGCCCTGCCAAACTTGTTTTTGTAGATCGGACGAGGTGCTGCGTGCTGCCACTTTTGGGCACATTGGCCCCGTTCGCTGGTCTGAACTTTGGCTGAAACTAGCTGAAAAACACTGTTCCGGCTGAATTGTTGTGAGAGAAAAACACTATTCCGATTGAAAAAACAAACCGAACAAGCTAAATTTAAGACAAACGAACGGGACACTTGTTGAAGTTGAAGAGAGAGGGCGCGCTGCTCGCTGGGGCGGCCACGGCCCACGGATAGCGGCAGTCCGCCAGATTCCCGCGTACCCGCTGCGTCGGAGTGTGCACTGTGCAATGACCTCTCGCTTTCTCTCCTCCGTTCGCTCATGCATGCGTTGGGCCGGCTTCGCAGCAGGGTCTTGCTGTGCCAGAACTCCAGGAGCCAGGAGCCCGCGCCGTGGCAGAGCAGGCGGCAGGCGGCAACGTCGTGTAATTGCGTTGGCTTCATATATTTGTTTTCGGGAAACGCTGGCCGACAGCTCGAGCCATTGAAAGCACCGAAGCACGTAGCAAAGTCAAAATTTGACGTGACGTTGGAATAAGGGTTCGCCAATGCTGTCTTTGTAGTGACTATCCTTCTCTCTATCTCGTGAGGTCCCTCACCGTGGCCGCGCCGGCCGGGCCCGGGCGGATCCTCGTGATCGGCTTCGTTTCGCCAGGGCCCAGGGCCATCTAAGCACGGGTTAGGTCTAATCTACTCCTACATGCATACATGGTCTTCTTGTTTGGTTGTTGGTGTATGTTAGACTTGACTGAAAAAAAAAGTTTGGCTATCCATATGGAGGCACATCGTATGAGATAAAATATTGAAAACAAGAGTTATTATAATGTTTCTTTTTGTATAATTATTATGTTTTCATAGATATCATTAGCTAGAAGCAGCCTTGCATTCATCAAGCTAGTACTTGGAGAACGGAAATGAATCTCGTTTACGGGGAGCCAAGTTGAGAAGGTTCTTTTGTGTATCCAATGGGACACACTGTGATCTTGTCGTTTAGACAACCAAATTAGCAAATCCTTGTATTTCACGGGCCATCAGTCTGTGATCCAAGTCAAATTATTCTAAGTTCGACAAATTCCACATACAAAGTTATTAACATCTATCTATCCAAGAAGTAAATTATGGAACTAGTTTTGTAACGTATCTAATGATGTCAATTGATGTTGTAAGTGTTTTTTTTTGTTCTTTTTGTAAACTTGGTCGAACTTAGGATTGTTTGATTGAGGACAACTCAAAATCAAGTATATTTCAAAAATGACGGAGTAGTACTCTATCTATTTAACAATATTCATCATTTTAACCAATGCCAAACAATATAAGGAATATAACCCACCACTTGGCCCTTTGTGCCAAATGGCGACTTCACTGCTTACCCCATGATCACTGTTTGGTTCCATTGTGAAAGAATCTTGATGTTGTCTATAGGGAGGATGAATAAATAAACCCCTTTACGTGCATGTCAGAGCAAACCCAGCTAAGTCGGGTTCCAAAACCGGCCAGGCCAGATTTGCTGGTACAAAACCAACTTGAAATGCAAACAACCTCTATTGGTTTGTATCTCAAACCAAACTTTGTAGAGGTGTTCTTGAGGTGCCCATCAATTTGTTCACACATCACCTACACTCACAAACAAGCACACCCAAGTAAATCGAAGCAGAAGCACAAGTATGGGATAGAAATGTAAATGTGAGACAAACCGAATGGAGTGAAAAGGATTATTTCCCAAAGTTTAGGTTCACCACTTGAACCTTATATCTTTACTGAGGAAGCTGTGAGCAACCCCCAAAGAGTAAACTTGCAAATTGCTCAAATACGTACAACAAATTGGCAAATTGGTGCATATATAGTACAAACATTGGTAGCACGACAAATATATGCTCACATGTTAGGTGTTTGGGTTACTATCAGGATTCGCATCACGTGCGTTATGCATGAGGCTAATGGTGGGCAGTATAACGATGCACATTTGACATAACCCCGGTTAGAGCTTTGACAACTGCAAGGAAGATATCACGAGGCGGCTGCTCGATGTTAAGATCACCTGAGGTGCCACTTACAATGGATCCTTGTCGCTAAAAACCTAGCGGCGCTCCTCTTGAATACAATTTGTGCTCGTTGTTCTTGGCCCTAATCTTTTGTTTTTGTCCTCTATTATAATTACACAAAGAAAGGGGTTTGACTGGAGAAGGATCGCTGGTTCACAACATGAATATGGTCATTAAGTATTAGTTAATGAACTTGTATGATTAAGGCCAAATGTTCCTATATTTTTGCTGCAACTATAATGTTTTTAGCTTGTATCATGATCGCCACACCAAGTTTGACTTCCATTCCATGGAAGACCGATCAAGAGTTTGTTTTCATATCTTGGAGCGATAACTCAATTTTTATGAAGTAGGGTGGATGGAAAGATCGTGTTTTTTGGGGTTCAAGATAGAAGATTTGATTTTGTTTTTAGTGTGAATGTGTCATTTTTTGTAATATACTAATACCAAAAAATTGGCTGGATCATCCATTAACCCTAGTGCCTAACAAGTAAGCATCTATTTTTCCACTCGAGCAACATTTAGGCCGTATATCCGTCAATTTATCAAATTGTTACACTAATATATGAACGGTTTACTATTGGACCAATCTACACTCACCGACCAAGTTTTTGTATGGTTAACGCAATCTATCGGAAAGTATGTCACTACTCCACATGAAGCTAGCTGTCAAGATTAGTCTGCTAACATCGTCACAAAGATCCAGATAACTACTATTGGAATGTTAAGTGAAGAAGAATGAGCCAACATGCATGCATGTCGAACCATTGCATTACATATTGCGGCAAAATTGTCGCCGTGTCCTGCAAAGAAGACCGCGAGCGTTGCAACATGCATCTCTCGCTTGCAGGGGGTCCGGACTCCAGAACGCCATGCATGCATATCCCTCCCAGGCCGTCACAAAGATCAGCGGTTCGTTCATTTCTTCACCGCCACTACTACTGCCGAAGTCATTACACCGCGTGCATGCAGGCGTGCAGTGCCATGCATTTCACTAGCTACTACGTACTCTACGCGGTTGCCACAATTAACAGTCATTCCACAGCGCGAACACCGGTAGCTGATGCACGCCTGCCACCGGCCGTGCCGCTGTCCCGCCGCCGCCATCCAGCTGCTGCCCTCCCCGGCCTCCAGCTTCACGGGGTGGCCGTACTGGAGGCCGTGCAGCAGGTGCGCTCCGCGGTGGCCGTCGGAGGTGTCCGAGTTGTCGGACGCGGCCTGGTCGCCGCCGCCGCCACTGCCCGGCGCGTCCGACGACCGGTCGGCGCCAGCAGCGTCGATGGCTAGCGCCGGCGCGTCCGGTGGCCTCGTCGGGGAGCGCCTGCACTCGTCGCCGCCGCCGATGAGGTGGGTGCTGGCGCAGATGCGCTTCACGTCGTACTTGCTGATGTCGAAGTTGGTCACCGCGTTGAGGCCACGGAACTTGATCGCCGCGATGTCGTACGCCTCCGCCGCCTCCTCCTGCGTGCCTGCACAGATTTATTATCAGGGCCTTGTGTTTAGATCGAGGTTAGGAATCGGTATTTGGTACTGTAGTACTTTTGTTTGTATTTAATAATTATTGTACAATCATGGCCTAACTAGGCTCAAAAGATTCGTCTCGTAATTTACAATGAAAATGTGTAATTAGTTATTTTTTATCTACATTTAATACTTCATACATATGTCAAAATATTTGATATGATGAGAGAGAAAGTGAAAAAACTTATAATCTAAACAAGGCCCAGGATACTACTACTACTTCAGAAAAATTCACAAACTGAGGGCTTTCACAACACAAATAGTGAACTTGCTGTCAAAAAAATCTTACTGAATGTGCCAAGATACAGGTCCTTGTTTCCAGCGACCCTCCCAATCCTGGCTTGCCATCTCCCGTGCTGGTGATGCCTGCGTGCGTTTGCATGGGGAACAAGCAGGACAAGAAAAGGTTACAACAACACGCGTGTGCGCGCGTGTACTCTAGGTGAGATCAGAAAATTCAACCAACAAACAGTATTTTTTAACACGACCGAGCGAACAGGTTGATGAGCTGCGCCCAGACTCGGATGAGATGGCTAACGCAGACGCAGAAGTTTTGGGGTGTTGGAAAAGGCAGCAGGTGGGGTGCAAAAATGGGCGAGCAGAGGGCAGCACGGCACCTTGTCACTCCTCTGTACATGGATGCTCCCCTCGAGAAGCCGCTGCTGTTCCTGCAGGAATAAAATTTGGCAGCAACAACAACTTTTGTAAGCGGCCGGCGTTCAGGCGTTGGTGAGCGCGCCAGATGTTTTGATACAGCTTTGGATGCATGTGAATGAAAAAAAGAGGATTCAGAAACAACAGTGAGCAGGCAGCGAGGTTTTGTTTCTATCTTGTGACGTTCAGGCACAGGGCTCTTCAGAAATTGCCACGTGAAAGATTCCATGCATTCAGAAGAATTCAAACCAAATTCTCTCTTCAATTCAACTACTACTACTCCGTATGCTGTAGGACTGTTGTAGGAGTAATGCAGTTGTGTTTGTTTGTTCCATGCACATAAAACTCTTCTAACATTTAGCGAGTTGTCCCTCCATATTATGACATTATTATTACATAGTATTTACTACATATGAGCAGTGGTACGGTGTAAATAAGAACTGCATCATGCAGTACCTTCTCAAATGTGCAATGAACTCCTGCCTTGACATGTGTTTCATCTCCTCCAGCTCCTTCTCGTAGTGGCTCAGCTACAAGTAGTGCCAGAGGCCGGCCAGTGGATCATCAGGAAACATAGTTTAGCATGTGTGTGTACGAACCATTCATCGAATGCAAAAATTAAAAGCGCAGGAATGATGCTGAACGAGAACGAGGCCTGCCGGCCCCTAATTGAGAAGATGAGGGTGAGGGAGCCAGTAAACGTACCGGGAAATTTATGTGAGTTGAGGGACCCCAGTACTTGAGAGCAGCAAGGTCATAAGCCCTCGCAGCCTTCTCCTCCCTGTCATACCCGCCTGGCCACAACAGTCATAGCAAGATACGGTGAGCATGTGGAGTAACAGCATTGGCCACAGTTGTGTGCCAATGGAAATACAGAAGGCCAAGGAGGCTATAGCAGTAGCTCACCTAGGTAGACTGCTCGTTGTCAGCATTGCAACGCATTGCAAGAAGCGATAACAAGAAGTTCAATTTACGTCAGTTAACATTCAAATCGAATGCTAAGCATTGAGGCTAGAAACTGAAGGTTTCAGGAAGATGAAATGCCATGGCTGGAATTGTGCTAAGCTCTCACCTTGCCTTCCTTTCCTAGTCTGGCCTTCCTTCCTGCATGTGTTGTCCCACAGGTGAGCCTCATACCTCCCGGTCCATCTGTGCCTGCAGATCGATCGATTTACACACACACACACACGCATCAGGATGATCGATCAACAAGCTAACCAACACGCATGAGGAACGACGACGTTGAACCAACAAAGCGAGATCTTGATCATGTATGCATGCATGCGCTGATGCGCAGCGCAGCAACTAACGCCAACCAACCTGGTGACGCCGCGGAACTGCGAGGTCCGTTGCCCGAACGTCTGCGCGGGCTTGCGGTGCACGGGCGTTGGCGCCGCCGGCAGCAGCTGCGGCGGCTCTGCCGGCACGTCGTCCGTCACGGCGAGCGATAGCGCCGCCGCCGCCGGCCGCTCCGGCGGCACGTACATGGCCTCCCGGAGCCAGGATTTGATGCCGGAGATGGACATGGACCCGCCGACAACGCCGCCGCCGGCGTTGTACATCGGCACTGCTGCGCCTGGCGGGCTCGCGCTCGCTACTGGGGCGCCCAGGAAGTACTGGCCGTGGTGGGGCACGAACTGATGCTGATGCTGGTCCGGGAAGACGCCGCTGCAGGGCGGCGCGTTCATGTTGATCCCCAGGCCAATGCCGCCGCCGCCGCCGCCGCCGTGGTAGTACGAGCCGCACGAGAGGGGTTGGAGGTCGTGGACCTCGTGGTACTTGTTGGCCTGCTCGGCGTGGACGCAGCTGTCGTAGAGGCTGCTGCTGCTGCTCTTGTTGCTGCTGCTGCAAGTGACGTTCATGAAGTCCTCAAGCTTGGGGCCTTTGGCTTCTGCTGCGCCGTGCCTCCAATCTGCACAGGGCGGTACAAAGAACGGACAAGCAGAAATTATGCTTCCTTTTCGAGAGAACGCCATGGGCCAACAACAAGTGCAGTGCACTCTTACGTTCACTGACTTCTCAAGCAGTCGCAAGTTGCCCGGCCTTAAATGAAAACAACTGGTACTACTATATACAGGTGAAGATCTCTGTCTTTTTCTTTTTCTTTGACAAGTAAGGTGAAGAACTGAACACGATCCAATATCATTCATCAAGAGACCAAAGAAGTCTTTTCACTTCACTTATTAGCATGTTGCAAACGAAATCGGTTTGCGCTGAATCTTCGTGATTTAGATTTAGAATTTTATACGAATCTCTTGAGTCAAGAAGATATGTGGGGGACGCGTGATATAAAGAAGCATAATTTCTAGATTCTGTTCTTATTGTTAGCTAGCCGAAGCTATTATAAAAAACAAAGCCGTACACCTATGTCATCTACGGAGTAGATTTCTTCATGTGTTGTTTATACCATGAACGGAAATTGACAAAAAGAATGCAAAGGATCGAAAAGGAGCTGTGCTCCACAAAGACTAGTACAGCGTCTCAATCATAACCTTACAAAACCTAGTACTTAAAAAACAACCTGCTGCTTCCCCTACCCTACAGACATACTGAAGCAAAAGCTAACGAGCATGCAGTTACCTGGCGCAGAGCTATAGTGCAGAGAGCCGTCAGGCTGCAGCGGCATGGCCACGAGAGGGAGAGGCGAAGCAGCCGCGGCAGGCGAGGAGCAAGAGCCGTCTCCTCCATCCCCGCTCGCGCTCGCTCCGCCGCCGCCGCCGTCGCCGTAGCCGCCCCTCCCTGCCGAAGGAGACAAGGAGAAGCCGAGCCACCCGTTGTTCATGTCCATCTCCTCCTCCCCTGGCCCGCCCACACAGAGAGAAGGAGAGAGATGAGATCAGAAGAAGACGGAAGGGGACACAGGAACCGACGATGGAGTACCTGATGATGATGATGATGATCCTTCTCCTCCTTTTTCAGAGAAAGACTTCTTTTTGGGCACGAGAGAGGCTGTTTCTTGCAAGCAAGCAAGCGAAGCAAGAAAGGCAACTAGAGTGGTGCTGGACCGCTGGTGCCGGAGGAGGACGAAAAGAGTCTCCTTTTTGACGTTTATGCGAGCAAGCTATATGGGGGTGCGTAGGTGGAACGATATGAATGCAAATTGCAAGGAGCTCAAGAAGCGTTTGCGTAGGTGACGACTGACGAGCGATCGAGAGGCCGGCCGGGTGTGTGAATGTGTGATAGACTCATACTACTAGACTGCGTGAGATAGAGAGAGAAGAGAGTCCATGCAAAACAAAAGTCTCGGTGTGCAACTATGCATTGCATGCACAGATGCGAGCGTGGACCGGCGTTTCCTTTTGTCTTGGGGGCCGTGCCACGCCACGCCACGCCATGCCGTGCCATACATCAGTGGAAACGTCTTGCAGCGTGGCCTGTGGGTGTGGCATGCAGTGCAGCTACCACCAGCGGCTCAGCCGGGGGCCGGGGCCCTCCTGCCAGGCTCTAGCGGCACGAGGAGCTAGACTCGAGCTAGCCTGGCTGCCCTAGCGTGTGAATGTGTGACGCCTCATCTGTCGTCTCGCTCTATCTTTCGCCTTGGGCTGGCTCTCCTGTCAGCGCGTGTTCAGTTTTCGCCCTAAATTCTCAAAAAATACTAGAGTAGTTATTACATCAAATCTTGCGATATGTGTATGGAGTATTAAATATGGACGAAAAAAACTAATTACACAGTTTGGTTGAAAATTGCGAGACAAATATTTTAAGCCTAATTAATCCATGATGGAACACTATTTACCAAATAAAAACAAAAATGCTACTATAGCCAAATTTGCAACTTTCACCCAACTGTTGGTCGTCGTCGTCGTCGTGCCGCCCGAATTCGATCCACGGGTGTCGCCGCATGCATGCAAGGAAATGCGCGCACATCTTCTCAGGTGATTTCGTGATCCAGAGATCAAGAACAGCTACTCTGGGTCTGCCGAACGTTTTCAAGTAGGAGCTGTTTTCAGTAAAGTAAAAACAGAGTAGCCGGAGCCGTTTTAGACAAGACTAAAATTTTACTCCTCTAAAATAGCTCTGCCTCCTCAAAAAAGCTCTATCAGAAGGAGCCGTGCCAAACACACCCTCTCTATGGATGCTTTTTTGAGCTTCTGTACGCGTGTACGCCCGTTTGCATCGTTGTGATCATATCCATGGGTTAGCGTAGTGCTGCACCCATGCATGTTTCGGGCGCGTTCGCTGGTCTGGTTGTTCTAGACCAGCCGACTGCTCCTCCTCATAAAACACTGTTCATCAACCAGTCGTTATAGTGTTTCTCTCTCACGACAACCAGCTATTTTCAGCCCAGTTTCAGACTTGCGAACGGGGCCTTCATCTCGGTAACAAATCGAATCGTTCATTCGTTTCCGGAAAAAGAGCGGGTCAAACTTTCTTAAATTTTACTAGATTTATAGAAAATATTAGTAATATTTATATTACCAAATAAATATCTTATGAGAGTATATATTCAGCGATCTATCTAATGATACTAATTATATATCATAAATGCTAATATTTTTAATATATATTAGGTTAAAATTAAAAGTGTTTGAATTCACAAGAACCGAGGATGACATTTTTTACAGGACGGCAAGAGGAGTTTGTACCGCTCTCTAGCTTTTCTTAGATTTTTAAAAAGATAGTAACATTACCTGCAGTGATGGATCGAGAATTTGCTCACGAACAGGGGTGTTTGGCATGGCTCCTCTTGAGGGGCTCCTGTAGAGGAGCCAGAGCCATTTTGAATTTGTGGCTCCTCTAAAACGACTCTATTTTTTATTGGAAAAACGGCTCCTTCAGGAAAACGTTTGGCAGGGCTCCTTCGCAGGAGCCAGAGTCAGAGACAGCGAGGAGCCCTGCCAAACAGACCCTAATAAGATCTCTACGTGTAGTGAAAATTACCCGTTATATCTCTTCCCATTAACGAAAACAACCCATTAATTATTGAGCATACATTTCTAATTTTAATACTGGTATGCTTGCAAATACTGGAGTACGTAGTTTAGGTAACTGCTTTATTATTCGGGACTTCATTCTTTGAAAATATTGTAAGACATCGTCTTCTGGTATGCTTGCAAATATTCCTATCTCAGTATAACAAATCACCCGATGAGAAATCATCTATTTTATTGAACATCCAAAATCACCAATCAAAGCATTGTAATATCTCATACTACAACACCAAGAAACAATACATTTTATACATATATGAACAAATAAGAAAAATGAAACTACACTTACTAAAACATATGATAACACTTACTAAAATAAATAAAAATAGTTAATCCAAAAGTGCAAGCATTGACACGATACTTACAAGTAATCGATAAACTTGTTGCAGCATTGTACATTTTTTAGAAATGATAAGGCAAATAAGCTCTCGCAACAAACAAAAAATATTGTTAAGTTTCAGAAACATTTGCAGCATGCCTGCCATAGAATTTTCACACTTCTTGTTGGCCTTCACGTCTCTATGCTTCTACTATCTGCTTAACGTGTGATCACCGAACCATGCTTCCCCTCCTCTTGTCATGCTCGTTGCTTCGCATTCATTGTTTGCCCCCTAATGACTCCTCAATAAGGAACCACTCCGCTGATGACACCCCTCTATTAGATCTAGAAGAGTTAGGGCGTCTCCAACAGGTTATCCTCGCTAGCTATTTGCCTACGTGGACAGAGAGAACATGAAATCTACACTCGCCAGCGACGAACTCGTCGCTCAGCTCGCACACTCCCCCGTGCACCACCATCTCTGAGTGCACGACCCACTCCCGTATATGCTGTGCTGCTGGACTTTTTTTCCTTTTTTTTTCTTCTCAATCGACTGGCGATTCGGAACTTCTCGTTGAGGATGCCCTTAGAGAAAGTTCAAGCTTTTCCACGGGGAGGGATTGCTGGTGTAGAGAGAGCAAAAGAAGCTGGAAATCATGCGTGTGGCGGCGACGAGCAGACATATAGCAAGAAAACCGATTTTTCCGATGCCAAATAGGTTGTTTTTTTTTTAAGTACCTATCACATCGAATGTTTGACACTAATTTTGAATATTAAATATAGATTAACTACGAAACTAAATGTACAGATTAAGACTAATTTACAAGACGAATCTATTAAGTATAATTAGTCTATGATTTGATAATGTTGTGCTACAGTAAACATATGCTAATGACAGACTAATTAGGTCTAATAAATTCATCTTGTGGATTACATACTACATTAATAATTTATTTATTATTACTATCCGAATACTCGACGTGATATCTCGGTGATAACTTCATGATTAAACTTTGCAGTGATCAAATACCCCTCGAGAGCAAACATAAAAGGGATGCTAAATTGTCTTGTCAAACGTTTATCAGACGCAGTTTGCGAGTTGACATTCACGCGGATCGAGCTAGAAGGTACGAGAATCCATGCAGGTGCTCACGTGAAAAAACTCGAGTACGGATGGGAGGGGAGAGAATCCTTTTGTCTGCAAGCCTGCAAAGCTGCCGAAAGTATAGCAAGGGCAGAAGGGCAATGGTGAAAATTTGTGTGTTGATATTTTTGGAGGAACAATGGTGTTGATATCTCGAGGCACACCTATCCTGACCAAAATCTACGGAAGATACTCGATTGGACGGGCCGTCCTACTCGTACCACATACATGTAGGAGTACTACCGCTTTGGCTGTTGGATTTGTCCGTAGATCGTGTCTTTTTCTTTAGGCATCCAGGATCAATATCCAATATCTTTTGATTTATTGAAAACATTTGTTGCTATCAATAAGAAAAAAGAAAGACAGACTGAACGCATCTAAATCCCAATTTAGTGATTTATGGTTTTGGTTATTGACGAGTATTAGTGATTTGGGGTTTTGGTAATTGATGAGCATAAGTGTTCTGACTAATGTGTATTTTACAATGGTATTCACATTAGAGTTACTCAAAAGTTGAATGGCCACAAGTATATTTGTCTCAATTAAATACATTATAGATTGAATATACGCTTGTTGCTTGAAGACATTCTTTCTACCGTGCATCAGGTCTATATTTTTTCTTTTGCCATACTATTAAGGGGGATCCAAGGCTTTCACTTGAGATAGTTCAAGAAGAACCTCGGAATGCACAAGAGGCTAACTCTCGGTAAAGATCAAGGTGCTAATTGGCCTCATTGAAGTGGTTTTAAGTCAAGGATCTCAAAGAAATTGAATTTTTCAATCGAACTTAGAACATGTTTGAAAAACACGCCCAAAGCATGCAACAAACATTTAGGATTGAAACCCGGCTGATCGCCCAGTAGCACTGTGCCCAAGGCAAGTAAGTGATAGAGTGGTCACCGTATGATCTAGCGTGCCTTGGTAGCGCCTGACGGATTGTCCGGTGAGGCCCAGTTCTTGACTTTGGTCAAATGGCCAACCGACTTTTGTGCACCGTATGATCCGATGTGTATGTGTCACACCCAGCAGATCATACAATGAGGGTTGAACTTGACTTAGTGACAAGTTGACAAGTTTGTAGAGTACGTTGTACGATTCGATGGAGACTGTGTGACTCCACAATGGATCATCAGCCGCGGAAAAAAACTTAACACGGTGACAAGTTGGCCAAGTCTCGGTACCATATCATATGATTCGGTGTTGACTTTGTGACTCACGGTGGATCACCTGGTGGGAAATATTTTGGTAAGTTCCTTTCTAACCGTTTTAAAGCAAGCTTGCACAACATCACAATATGACTTAGTGATGGCAATGGAGGCTGACATATATTGTTCAATTCGGTGATGACTGGCAGCTTTTTCCTACAACTAGCATCCCCTTCATTGTCTATAGTA